TTCAATAGACTCCAAAGTTTCTGTGTACTTCTCTTCAGTCTGTTTTATTTCAGAAAGGCAGCAGCTTCTTATATCATTTTCAGGACATTTCTGCCAAGTCAAAAAATTGTCATTTGTAGCTGAAATGCATGTTGAATGTGAAATACTACTGGAACATACTGTGGTAGAAACTGTTAGTGATGTTCAACCTCAAAAATGTTAACATTCAACAATAACATATCCTAAATTTTATCAATTGGACAGCAGCTAAGCAAAGGGGACAACACAGAGAGCTGTTGTCTAGTACCTATTTACAAGGGGGTATTGTAAAGTAATTATCACCTGGTACTTATTATAGTATATTGATGAAATTTTGTCAGTGGCATCATCACCAAGTGACTTTTTCTTTTCCAAAAAATGAAAAATCTGTTGTGGGGTTGCCGATTTGACAACACAGATTACATCATTCATGAAGTGGAAGAGTAGTTTAAGGTGCAATCTGCAGATTTCTACGATAACAGTATTCGGAGGGTTAAGAAATGCTGGGAAAAATGTGTAAATCTGGATGGTGACTATACAGAGATAAGTTTAACAACTACAAATCAAAACAAACTTTCTGATAAAATTTTTTAAAGGTAATAATTAAAACTTTACGATAACCCCTTGTAATGCTTCAAGGCTTCAACTTTGGAGTATTTTTGGAATACAAGTAGCATAGTACATCCTACATTTGTGAAGCTGGAGAGAGACACAAGGCTGGAGAGAGAGACACGAGGATCTGTGAAATGATGGGAGGTGTAGTTCATGCCAAGCACTATGGGTAGATTCCTGCAATTTCACAGAAACTTGCATGCCTCTCCAGCCATGTAAATACAGTATATACTAAACTACTTGTATGCCAAAAATCTAAAATATTCAACATCTGGAGAGAAAAAATTCCAACTCCGAAGCACTCTTGGTCCCATGCATTTAGAACAAAGAATACTCAATCTGTACACAAATTCAAATAATAGAAAGGAACATGAACCTCTACTAAAATCTACTCTTTGGACCCAAAAGGTGCAGCAAATAGCTATGCTCCACAGGGTCTTCCCTGTAGTGGCACTCTGGTTGCAGAATGCCTTACAAGAGGGGGCCAATTCATAACTTCACTATTATAATTTTGGTATTAGACAAAATAATACTATTTCCCTGTGCATTTAAACCTGTTTTAGCTCTTCCTAATTGAATGTTTTTTTGGGGTTGTCCTGAGTAAATGTCATTAAATAAAAATAAATAAATAACTGGTTTAGTCTATGCCAGTCTTTCAGTCCTTGAATTTGGGCTGCATGAGATTCTTATGAACCATTGCTACATTTTACCTTGTTTTGAATATTCTTTTAAGCTGCTTTGAGAACTTTGGATTGATGTATACTAAATAAATACATTTTTACTTCAGTGTCTGTACACTGAGACAATTTCGTAAGAGAAAAGCTAGAGGAATTCATTATGAAGATAACAGTAAAGTTACATAAGTAAGGGGGGGAACACCACAAACCAATGCTGGTTATTAAATGAATACAAAGCTGATTATTATTTTAATATTTATCTACTTTTTGATAAAATGGACCATTGAAAAGTATTAAAGGCATCACCCATTCCAAGTTAAGCACCTCTGAGCCCCATTGCCTTCAGTGTGATAGTTGCTTAACACACTAACTGAAATCAACAGAACAGAAATGTGCTTAATTGTGCTTGGATAGTGGCTTAAGTGTCTTTAGTACCACTATTTTTTTAGGAATCTGTCCCAACTTCAATAACTGTGAGTCATACAGGCTGATGGGCAGCTTCTGCTTTCATTAGGTCTTCATAAACTTCTCCACCTTCATCTTCCCCATAAACACAATCATAAAGATCTTCATCTTCATCTATACCAGTTTCACTATGACACAAGAGAGAACAAGAACAGACCACAAAATTAAAAATAGGATTTCAGGTAATTTCAACTTTTACAAATACAAGTATTAGAACAGCATATCCCCTCCTTCTAAAGCATGCCCATGAAATGGGATTAGAAGATTTTAGATTAACAGTTTAGCAAGAGGTCCAAACACTAAACAGTGTTTAATCTTCACTGTGTGTAGTGAAAACAAAGCATAATATAAATAGGCTGCATCTGCACTGCAGAAATATTGCAGCTTGATACCACTTTAACTGCCATGGCTCAATGCTATGGAATACTGAGATTTATAGTTTTGTGGGACATTTAGCATTCTCTGTCAGAGAGATCTGATACCACAACAAACTACAAATACTAGGGTTCTATAGGATGGAGCCCTGGCAGTTAAAGCAGGACCAATCTGCATTATTTCTGCAGTGCAGATGCAGCCATAGTTAAGATTAATGGCAATTTGCTCAGCTTTGCACAACCTTCTTAGAAAGATCAGAACAGGTACCTCCTCATCCTTCTGTCAGCAAGTAAAAACTATTTTATTCCAACAAGCTTTTGGAAACTGATTTACAAGGGCTTGTAATAACAGTGTGCTATTCTACTGTTTTCATTCTGGCCTTTTAATATGTATGTTTTAAACAGTTTAAATTTAAAACATAGTTTAATAACTCTTTAACTATTATTGAAATGTAATTATTATTAACTATTATTTTAAAATATACTATTATTTTTGTATATTTTATCTACTTATGTTTTATTAGTTCTTGTTTCAATGATTCTAAATTTCTCAAATATATTCTGTTGGAGAATGGAGATAGATGGTATATGAACTGAGTGGTGGGAGAGATAAGATTCTTCTCGTGCTAGATAAAGCTTTATCTCCCAAGCTACCCAATATGAATTGAAAAGATCCAAAATTATCTGTCAAGCAACTTAAGCAAAAGCTCATCTTACCACATCAACCTTCCCCTTATTAAGTTATCCTGAAATATAAGCAAAACAAACTAAAACAAACTGGAAGAATTCCTGAAAATTCTTAGCCTGCTTCTCTTTAATCTCATAATAACTAACCATTTTTTGGTATTGTTGTCTTAAAGATCTAGAAAGATGTCAAGACAATTCAATGTAAATAGCACAATCTGAGAGCTGGTTTGGCTAAAATACACATAAATTGTGTATCTTAACATTAGATACAAGCCCAGAATGAGAAAGGATATGAGGATAAGGTATGAATCGGAAGATATGAAGTTACCCTAAGAAAATCTGGAATGTATGATCATCAAAAGGGGAAAGAAGGGCCTGCCCTTTTTTTCTGTTTTTAATGCACCCCTATCTTCAATGAATTAGATCTTTCCTATCTCCTTCACATGAGTCACATGAGCCTGCCTATCAGTTCCCATCACATTTAGCATCACGACCAAAGCTACTGCATATATTCAACTGAAATAGAAGCAATAAAGGGAGGACAAAAGAAGTCATGCACTGGTGATAGTACTGTGTTGGTAAAAATGTAAAGTGTGCATCTCAAAAACTTCAAATTTGAGGTCTAAATCAATAAAAACATGGAATCTCAAGTCACTGTAGGAGAAACAATGGAGGTCAATGTAACTTCTTTAAACAAAACAAAATTAGAAATTCAGATTCCATTAAGGAAAAGGGCAAGGAGAGGCTCATGGTTTCTACAGATGCACTGATGTCTAAATATGGCAGTTCCTATCAGGTCAAATTCCAAACATATAGAAAACTAAGCTAAAAGAATGTCACAGGAAGTCAGAGAAATAATCTGCATCCTTCCTTCAGTTGCCATATCTTTAAAACTCTCTGCATCTCTGGTCTTCTATTTAGCTTTAAAAAGTAACTCCTCTTGCTTCATCATGTGCAAGCCTTTAATGCCAGCCAAATTGACAAATTACCCTTCATTCATTCCCTGGATTTTGGATGAGCTTTCAACCCTCGTGAACACATTATGGAGTAATTAGGAATCTCTGTCATGGGCATCGCAGTCTTAAGTACAGTGCAGTATAGCAAGTTCATCAGATTTATAAGGTTTGAAAATACAAGTTCTAATAGAGTAGAATATTCTATTATCTCATTGAAGTGATAACTGATACAGTGAAGAAAGCTTGCATGCTATACATATTTACAACCTACTCTATTAAATCTGGAAGGCCTTTGTAAATGTCTTCATCATTCACACTCTCTTCTGTAGGAAATGGCCTATAGAGACAAAAGATAAAAGTAAATATTTGCCATAAATAGTATCAACCTGAAAGTTCATTTTTCCTGAGATATACTCAGGAAGAGTATAAGTATAGAAAGAAAAAGAAAGAGAAACAAGGATGGCATATATTTAATATACTGTGGGCCTGCATACCTAGCCAGTATGTATTCAACAGACTATATAAAGGGGCATATCTTTGCACATCTCCTCTGTTCTCATTGTGCCATGATAAGCCAAGAGGTCTTTAAATAACCACCATTTCCCATTTCGTCAGAACAGGGAATTTATAGTTACCAGAGCCAAAATCTTAAAACACCTTCAAACAGAGGTTTTCTAATCTGGGAACAGAAAAAGCGAAGAAGAAAAGAGGCTACATCCACAGGCATACACTTCATTCATACATCAACATTAAGCCAAGACATGGTCATCTGATGCATCATAGTCTTTAATGAACAACTTCATTAAGAGCTTGCCACCAGGAAGCTTATAAATTCCATGTGCTCATTTCTGCTGCTCATTATAAAACAATAAATCCTACATATTTTGATAAATTATCTAATATACAAGCTACAGGAGCCAGGTTTCACAAAGTGAAGTCATCTGCTTCTTTCATGCATAAAACTAGGCTGTGACAATTCCTAAGGTTTACTTTTACTACTACTACTACTACTACTTATTATTATTATTATTAGCTAGTGTCTGCATATACTCCTTGTAGCAATAGCAATAACAATAGCAAGTACATTTCTATACCACTTATCAGTGCACTTAAGCACCCCCTAAGCGTTTACAATGTGCAAGCTAATTGCCCCAACAAGCTGAGTACTCATTTTAGTAACCTTAGAAGGATGCAAGCCTGAATCGAGACTGAGCCCTTGGCTGGTATTGAACTTGCAACCTTGTGGTTTGCGAGTGAGTGGCTGCACTACAGGCGTTTAACCACTGCGCCACAAGGGCTCTAGCTTCTGACTCCAGAATATATGCATCAAAACTTATATTGATACTGAACAACAGAATATGTTTGGTATAAATTAAATTACTCCTTTATTCTACTAGTTTTTGATTACAACAAAATTTCAGATATTAGCAGAAATGTGCCTGTATTTCATCTGCTCAGCTCGTATTTCTCACAAAACCTGCTTGTACTATGATGAAAAATCAAAGCCAAAAACATACAACAAATTTATACCTTATCCCAGCAGCTATTGCAACAGGAGTGCGAGAAAGCTTGGATAATGTTTCGATAACCTGCATGAGGATATGAAAATATTTGTTAACTTTTTAACAAAACACTTTGCCATAATTGCAATTACATCTTAACACTTTCTGTTACATTTTAAAACTCTGTTTAATGCATTTTTAGATTTCCAGTCCCACAGATCTGAAATGAAACTGACAGAAATATGCTTCTTCTGAAATCTTGCCAATATAGTACTTGCAGTTTCAGAGAAGTTTTTCAAGGCTACTTTAAACATTTTATAGAAAGTTGAAGATAACTGTTCAACTACTTCATTTAGTATTCTTCTTAAAATTATTTTCAAATGCCATAGAAAAACAATCAGACTGCAACACTATAGCCATTTACTTGGGAATATG